AATATATATATATCATATACATACATAAATACATACATACATACATACATGTATCTCACGACCTTTTTCTCTACAGCTGAAACATGAATAATAAATAGAAGACGAAATACTCTTTAAGAAAACTGTGACCTCAGCAGCAGGAAACACTCGTAAAGGAATCATCGCGCTGACAAAATTGTCATGAGTCACGATTCGGGAGGGGGGGGAATGCTAGAAATAAGTCTCTATCATACAATAAAACAAGAAAATGTGCTGTGTGACCCATCAAATTGAGACCGACATCATTGTAAAAATTGCAAAGAGAGTTTTTCATCATCGATCATTGACCGATACCTGTCTGATACTATCTTTCACCTATACCTGTCTGATACTATCTTTAACCAATACCTGTCTGATACTATCCTTGAAGTCTATACCTGTCTGATACTATCTTTGACCAATACCCGTCTGGTACTATCCTTGATACCTGATACTATCCTTGACCAATACCCGTCTGATACTACCTTTGACCTATACCTGTCTGATACTATCCTTGATATCTGATACTATACTTGACCTACACCAGGCTGATACCGCAAGTATCACCCAGCCAACACATAACCAGAGAGAGAGGTCAACACGTTTCAGTAAGACAAGGGAGAAAGAAAATCTGAAAGTATCGCGACCTCAGTGCTTTTTTGCCGTATCTCCATCTATTTTAACAGTGAAAATGTGACTTCTTCTTCAGCTCACTCTTTGTTATGAACTGCTTTCACTGTTATTAAAAACGGAGATACGATAAGAAAGCACCGCGACCGCGCTGTGTCAAAGTCACAACTTTAAGGGGGGGGGGGCGGTGGATACGGTCAGGGCGTTGTTTGTAGATTAGTAGGTGGGAGTTTTCGTGGGGGGGGGGTGGTGGAAGGGGGGGGGGGGCGGTGGAGCTCATTAATAAACACTTTTACCTATATCTCCTTCACTATACTTTCATCTTTGTCTCCTTCTATACCTCCCTCACTATACTTTCATCTTTGTCTCCTTCTATACCTCCCTCACTATACTTTCATCTTTGTCTCCTTCATTATACTTTCATCTTGATCTTTCTCACTATACTTTCATCTTTATCTCCCAAACTAACCACTTCCCTGCAACATTTTCCCCTTCATCCCCCTCACTAACCATTTCCTTGCAACAACATCTCAGGACATTTGAAGGTTTCGTATCACCCTCAGACACACTTCTAAAAAAAAGTCGATACATAACTCAGTTGCCTGAATCTAGGTACGTCAGTTCAGACAACTGAAATGTTCTATAAAACAACTTTCCTTTTCGTGGATAGTCCATCCACCAGTGACAAGGTAAGGCCAGGCTTGCTTTCTTCCCCAAAAACATTGGGAAACAAAAAATCAGCATCACCTCTCCAAAAAAAATAAATCTAAAAATAAAAAATTGGCATCACCTCCTCTAACAAAAAAAAACTCAGAAAAAAAAAAGAAATGATTTGGATCACATTTCAGTACATAAATGTTCTGAACACTCTCAATTTACAGTAATTGAAACAGACAAGAGAACTTAAGTAGCCTAACAGTTTACAAAATAGAACTAGTCACAAAAACAAAACAAAAAACCAAAAAAAAAGACCCTGTTCATAAAGAGTTGTATCGCCAAGCCATATCAGTGACACCTCAAGCACACGGCGAGCGGCTCAAAATCTGTCACTTCACGGCCGGCGACAAACAGCGGCTAGTTAGTTTCAGCCCGCTCTCCCGCGGACAACTTGCGTATGTATCAGTGGGCCCTACAGCTTGCATCGACGCAACTCGGAGCCCACAACCTGCAGCCCGCAGCAGCAGCAGCAGCAGCAGGTGTCGCAGCGACGTCTTTATTGCACCGCGACGGCAATAATGATGGCAATGATCACCAGTAGCACCAAGATACACACAATTATCATTATCTTTTTCTGAAATGAAACGAGGAGTTGGGGGGGAATACAAAATAAAAAATCACATCCAGAGGTGAAACAAAAATGAGAAGAAGAAAAAAAACAACAAAAACAACAAAACTAAACTGTAAATGAATGAAAGCAAGACACTGAAGATCAAGGGGGGTGCAAGACAAAGAGTAGGAAGAAAGATCTCTCTCTCTCTCTCTCTCTCTCTCTCTCTCTCTCTCTCTCTCTCTCTCTCTCTCTCTCCCATTACACAACGCAGCCAAAGACACACGCAAGACGCAGCAGAGAGGGAGGGAGGTCGCGAAAAGGAGCATGTGACAACACAGGCTATACACGAGAAATCACTGTTTTCCACACGCAGCAGCAATTCTCCACTGTTTTTCCTGTCTTCTCTTTCTTTCTTCTTCTTCTTTTTCTTTTGCAAAATAGTAAAATAATAATAATAGATAGATAGATAAATAGATAGATAGATAGACAGATAGATAGATAGCATTTGTATAGCCCAACAACATTGAAACATTTCTTCTTCTTCTTCTTCTTCTTCTTCTTCTTCTTCTTCTTCTTCTTCTTCTTCTTCTTCTTCTTCTTCTTCTTCTTCTTCTTCTTC